AATCAGATTGCTGACTTCGAATAGTGTTCACTAGCCAAGTTCTAACCTGCAGCTTTTCAGTAGGCTTCCGAGCAAGATGGAGAAAGTCTCCGGATAGAGCATTTTTCTTTATGTGGGGGCAAATAAGAACTGACTGTTGCCAGAACAGTAACAAGGGACAGTGCCACAACCAAAGTACTCAGTCTCGTATGTTTAAGAAACCACAGCAGGAAAGGGAAGACTTTCCCTGGTTTAGATGACAATCATGTTTCCAATGAACTGAGAGTCAACTTTGCGACTATCATCTCATGGTACCTGCTGGACAGTGTCATTTGAAAACAAGCTGCTCTTTCATACAAACCTGTTACAGCTTAACAACGTATTTAAGCACTGGAAAAAAGATTCAGCATCCACATGACATGGAAAATAAGGATGGTGACACATGTCAGTGAGTCACAAGCAGTCAGGGAGGAGGTTTTATTTGAACTAGGACAATCAGGAAGCACTAACCCACATACAGGGAGGCCTTCCCTGCCTAACAGCAACATCTTAATTGTCATAGAGGCAGATGCCTTCAGTGAGTATACACTGCCAGAAGGGAAGAATGGCACCCACAGCAGACATTTTACAGGGTGTGCAGTGGTCCAGCCACCTGAGCTTCCCACACCACATACTGCAAAAGCAAACTCACCTGTCCTATACACAGGAATCTGCAGTTAGCATATGTGTATAACATAACACTCCATGCAGAATACTTTAAATAGTAAGCATAAAAAAGTTACAAGCATTTAGTACTTCTGGATTTAGATCACATATTCCTTCTGTTTGGAGGACTACAACTTCTCCTTCCATTACTCAGAAGCAGTTTCATGATGAAAAAGACAAGACTGACAAGAGTCTCACTTTCCATACCACCAGCTACCTACCAACATCTTCCTTTTTTGCATAGGTACTGCTTGCAGCTCAAGGTGCTTCAACACCCAAGGAGCAGACAGTCCCGCTGTTAAAGAACAGCTGGGCAGTAGGGAAGTTTTCAACTGGCTTCTTGAGCCAGCATAGGGTGGAACATGGAGAGGAGAGGGAAAAAAAATCCCCACACATCTACCCACCAAAAATAACTAGATATAAAATGGATGTAAATCTAGTTAAGCATTTCTTTACTGTTTCCAACATATTGCAGAAGAGTGGATCAGAACAGTGAAGAGCTGAATTCTTTAGAAGACATCAATTTTTCTAGTCTTTGGTTGTACATATTCTTACATTACACCAGCAATCACACATTGACAAGTGCACTCCCTAATTACTTAAAATAGCTTGTCAGTGATTGTATAGTTAGGCAAGGGACTAATGAAACAGTTTCTGTTTTACTGCATCCCTGCACTGAAGTTAAGACATGAACTGTAACAAGCACAGACCAGATGCGAGTTCTCCTAGAGTCTTAAGTCACAGAGAATGCTCTCCTTATTGCTGCAGTCACCTCTGCAGAACTACTTTAATCTGACTTGGTCTTTGAGTGTGGTCTAAAATGTGTTTAGTAGTTCTTCCACTTCTTTAAGTGTTGTTTACCCGCCTTAATGAAGGTGACTGATTTGCAGTCAAACAATAGACATGTTAAAGAGTGACAGAGAATATATGAAGATATCACTCACAAGCTAAGTAATTAAGTTATTAGAATAAGCTGTTCTCTTTTGCATGATAAATCAAAAGTATAATAAACCATAAGAAACAAGTCTTAGTGTCAGAGAAAAAATGGTTCTGTTGTTGCCTAGAAATACCATTCCATCTACACAAAATGTCTATCAGAAAACCAAAGAGAGGCAAGTAACAAAAAATACGCAGGAGAAGAAAACTCTCCAGCCCAGGCCAGTCATGCTTTCCAGCAATGGAAGAAATCAACCACTGTCTACCAGCCCACGGAGAGGAAGGGAGCTGTTGCCTGCACTGCAGAGCTGCATACGGACATGCAGCACACCCCCCCTCAGCACTGCAGATCAGCACTCACAGAATGCAGATACAGCTTCATCGCACTATTTTTGGCCAGCTACTGCAGAAATCTGCAGCTTTTCTTCTAGATTCTCATTTTACAGAATATGACACTAGTTTAATGCTGAAACACTAGTATCACTTAGAAGGAATTCTCATCCTAGTAAGAGAGAGAGTTTTTATTTACTCTCAGGGCACCGAAGACTGCTTTCCCTAAATCCTATCACTCTCTTACAGGGTAGAAAGGTGGGTGAGTGGTCCTTAAGGCCAATTAAGAGCAACCTTAGGCTTCAGTTTCAGCTTAAAGGGGAGGTGTTGCTCCCTCCTGTGCTGCCTGCTCTTTCTTGGTCTCTTACTTCTGCTCCATCTTGGGCACTTGTGAATTAAATGGGTTTAATGAAAGGTCTGACAAGAAGGAAAAACAGTTGTTACAGTAAAGCTCTTTCTCCTTTCCTTCCCTTTGGAAAACTTGTGTTGGGAGAGTTGAACCTGCACAAAGAATGGTTTGACTCAAACAGGAGCGAGTAAGTCACAGGCATACACAGTCAGTCATCCACTTCCACTGCAGTGAATTTAGGATAAGGCAGGTCACTGTAACTTGAAGTGCTAACCTTAGGGTTTTTCCTGGCCAACACTGCTAAGGCAATTAAAATAATTTTTCTTCCCTATCTTCACTTACTATGGGGAAGGGATAACAGGAGAAAAAGCACAAGCTCTGTATCAAGTGACAATAAGAGTTACCCTGAGGATCATGACTATGCAACTGGTAGCCTTTTTGGTGTTAGAACAGGCTACAACACCAACATTGAGAGTTCACACCTCAACTGAAGCTGGCCTTCACAGTTTTAAACTTTCACTTAAACAAGTTTTTCCTTGGAGGTTCCATGTCTCTTTAAGTGAAGATACCAGTATGAGGTTATTAATACCTGCAAGTCACTTTATCTGGGCAGTTACCTCGGTCACTTGAGCAGACACCAAAGTGCACAGGGTGGAGGAAGGACAAGGAGAAAGTGAGAATTGGAATAGAAGCACACAATCAACAGGAGCTATTCTTCTTACAGTAAAAAAAATTACAACGGATTCCTGCTTTAGACCCACAGGCTTAAGACCTATGTTCTCCTATGGGCCTGCCTCAATCACATGGGAGCCAGGGAGAGGGGGAAGGGAATCTGGTGCTCTAGGCATTATCTTTGCCATTCCTACATTTAGCATATTTTTTGTCACAGCTAAAGTTTCACTGAAACCTGTAACTCGATGAGTTCAAAAGTTGCAGATGCCAAGAAACTTCAATGTTATGCACTGTCTGTATTCTTTTTTTCCCTACTAGGAGGAAGTAAACAGGCCCAAGGAAAATAAAAAGTCTGTCAACCCTCCAGCACACTGAGGCATCAGACTAGGGCATCTGTGATCCAAGTGCTACATGGAGGCAGGGGAAGGTATGTACAGTGATATTACACTGCAGGGCAAGGTCAAGAATACATCTCCAGGTGGTAACTTGGGGCAGGAGCAGGGGGAAACTCTCATTTTTTTAGCTAAATAATCCTGCTGTCATATGCCTCCTATAGACTTAATATATTGTTTTCCTTGATTACTCAAGATTAGTCAGGATATGCCTGTATGCTTCAAACAGTCTGAAGTATATGCACAGTGCAAAACTTTTGCTTAAAGATTTGGTAATGACAATTACCAGTACAGACAAAACTGCTTTACTGGACACAAAGACAGCGTGGAAGTTTAAGCCTTGCTATAGCACAGCTTTGCAAAACTTCTGATCTTAATAAAGACTGCTCATACTGGACTAGGTAGATCCACTATGATTCCCCAGAGGCTCGCTCTCATATAACATTTTTTCAGAGCAATGCATCATTCACTGCAATTTTGTTCTTTCAAGCCATTTAGCTACAAGTACCATTGCTTTTTGAAGCACCTATCAAGATAAAATGCTGCTCACTATGCTCCTACTGATGCTGGAGACATCTGCCTGACTGAACACGACCCAGTGTGAATGCCAAGAAAGTGCTTAGCTTTATGACTGAAGTACTATTCTCATTCGATTAGGAAGCAAATATCCAAAGCTAACACTTCCTAAGATTAACCAAGAAGTACATCTACAGATACTGAAGACACTTTCCAGGCTCTTAATAGCCAGAGGTCCAGAAGATTCACAACTCTTAGAGAATAAAACTTTCTCTCCACTGATCGACAACAAACATCACTACTCGTTACAGCGCGTCATTACCTAAAAGGAGTGAGCTAAAGCAAACTGACAGACCACGATGCATTACTTGGGGCAGCCAAGGTAAGCCGCTGCCGTCCTGCGGCGGTGTGCTCAGCACAAGGCCATCACCATGGCGCCTCTCCTGCCCCTGCTCATGCTCCTCACCGCTGCGCACAGACCAACATCACGTCCTGCTGCACACCCCCACTTCACTCTCAGCCTCAGCCTAGAGCATCACCAGAACCGCAAGCAACTAAGGCCTCAAAGAGAACCACCTCCTCCTTCCAGCCGCAGCGCGCCGCCGCTGCGGGTCACCGGGAGAAGCGCGCTTCCCGTGATGCTAGACCCTGTAGGGCAGCCCTCGACCACCGGGCTGACACACGCACCCTGCAGTCACCTACTTTCCCTCACAGCACGGGATTTGCCACCACCGGTTTACAGCCTACGGAAGAGGTCAGGGAAGACACAGTAAGGACAACAGAGATCAGAGGGAGCTCCAGGTATCAGTGGGTAGGCGGCAGCAGCTCCCTCCCCTCTGCAACTTCCCTGGGGGGCGGCAGTGACCAGATTCCTCTGGGAGAGGGGCAGCAGCGCTGCTGCCTCCGCGGCAGCAAGGGGAAGGAGGGAGGTGCGGAATACAGAGGGGCGGCAGGCAGTGGTGAAGAGGCACGCAGGCACAGGGAAGGGCATCGTGCCTGGCGCCGCTGGGGAAGAGAGTGGGAGAGGGGTAGCATGCGATTAGCCCGGTGTCGTGCGGGGAGGGAGCGCAGCGCCGCACCCAGGCCGCCCCTCATTACCCCTCCGCGTCCCGCCGACCTACCCAGCACCACGCAGATCACGTCCAGCGCCACGAAGGGCAACCGCGTCCTGTCAAACATGCTGGCAGCGCCGGGCGCCCGGCGCGGCGGCGGCGCCTCCTCGCGCGGCGCGGTGACAGCCTCGGCCGCAGAGGCGGGCGCGGAGCCGGGACGGAGGGAGTGGCTGAGACCCAGCCACGGCCAGGAGAGGCGCTGCGCTCCGAGCCAGAGGCTCCCGCACTCCTCGATCCCGGAACCCGCAGTGCGTTTCTACTACCCCCGCGGCGCCCACGGGGGCTTTAAAGAGAGCGGGCAGGCGCGGGGGTCTGAAGGGCGGGGTGGCGGTGCCTCATCCCGCCCATCCCTGCCCGCCACTGTGACGCCCCTCTACCGGCCGCGTTCCAAGGGCCGGGCGGGCCCGACCAATCGCTGTGGGGCCGGCCTCATGCCTCGCCCCGCCCCGCGCCGCCCCCTCCGCGCGGTGGGGCTATGCTGATCGTTCGGTCGCCGGTGGCTGCTGGGAACGGCCCGGTGCCGGTGCCGCTCGGGGCAGCGCCGCAGCGGTCCCTTCGCTCTGCCTCCACCTGCCTGCACGACGCCGTCCGCCGGCGGGGCGGGCCCCGGCGCAGGAGGTTGGCCCGTCAGACCCCGTCTCCTGAGGGGCTGCCCGCCGGGTGACCGTCACTGGACGGGTGGCGGACACGGGGGCTCAGCCGCCACCGGGCTGAGAAGGGCTGCAGTGGGTCCTGCGCTGCAAACGCGGGCGCTGCTGCTGCTGCTGCTGCTGCTGCTGTGTTTTTCTGAGATTTTTAGTATTTTTTTAACAAGGAAAAAGCTGTTTTCTGGAAGAGCGCTGGAAAATTGCAAAACAGCTGAAAAGTTGAATTTCAGGCCAACCCAAAACAATCTTTTTCCATTTTAAAAGGTTTTATTTGGGAAGGAAAACAGTGACCAACACAGAGAAAATGTGTTCTGCATAACTGCATTTTTGTTTTACCACAGAACAGACAGATTTGTCCTCCAGTGTTGTCAGGCACAAACCTGTCACCCGGGCTGCTGGGGACCGGCTGCAATTGCAGGTGGAGTGAGCTTTCTGCTTTCAGGCATAAGGCATAAACTTTCCTGCAATTTCTCATGTATTCCACTTCCAGTTCTGTAAACACTTTGTATCATATCCTCAAGGCTGAATAACAGGTTTGGCAGATCAACAAGGGAAACAAGTCCTAGGGGTGGAGGTTCCTCACTAAATATGCTGTATCTTCAATTTGGCCATGCTGCCCAGAAAGGGAACCAGTGAACATGATCCAGCTTATGCCCAGGCAGACAAGAGGCCAACAGCATCCTGGCCTGTATCAGCAATAGCCTGGCCAGCAGGGCCAGGGCAGTGATCATCCCCCTGTACTGGGCACTGGTGAGGCTGCACCTCGAATCCTGTGTTCAGTTCTAGGCCCCTCACTGCAAGAGAGACATTGAGGTGCTGGGGCAGGTCCAGAGAAGGGGAACAGAGCTGGTGAAGGGTCTGGAGCACAAGCATGATGGGGAAGAGCTGAGGGACTGGGACGGGGTTTAGTCTGAATAAGAGAAGGCTCGGGGGGGGGACGACCTTATCGCTCCCTACAGCTGCTGCAAGGAGGCTGTAGTGAGGTGGGGTTGGTCTCTTCTAAATAACAAGTGACAGGACAAGAGGAAACAGCCTATGGTTTTACCAGGGGAGGTTTAGCCTGGATACTAGATTTCTTCAGAGAGAGGGTGCTTGGGCATTGAAACAGGCTGCCTCAGACAGTGGTGGAATCACTGCCCCTGGAAGTGTTCAAAAACCGTGTAGATGAGGCCCTCAGTGACATGCTTTAGTGGTGGACTTGGAAATCCTAGGATACAGGTTGGACTTCGTGATTATGAAGGTCTTTTCTAACCTAGTTGATTCTATGATTCTATAAATCAGTTTCAGTTAGAACATATAAAGGAGCTCCCCATGGCAGCCTGTACAGGAGTTCCCAATTTCATCTGATCACCCAAGAAGCATCCCTGATACAAATCAAAATGGCCAGTTCTAGAGATCAAAACTCTTTATTTTCATAAGTGTGTAATTTACAAACCGCATTTTCCTTTGCAGGTGTTCTGGGATGGTCTTGAGGAGATAGAAACTCCAGTGTTGTCCTAAAACATAGTAATGGAGCAAAATGAAACACAACCTAGCAACAGTGAAAACTGCTTATCTTTGTGAGAGCTGCTGCTGAAAGACAAGTGTGCAATCTGCTCTGCTCCTCACAAAGCAGGGGATTGTTCACAAGGCCTTAAATCAAGAGTAGATAACATCCCCCAAATTACAAGGTGGTTAGAGAAACCAGGAGACAGGAGAAGAGCAATGCAAACATTCCATGGGCAATTGTCTTAATTGCTTTCTTCAACCCAAAAGCATCACGTTAATCTTCTTGGGGCTAAGCAGCAAACAGCTCAACAGCTTTCCTGATCCACACCTCTATGCGGTAAATTAGAGACTGAAGAGATCTCTTCCCAGAAAAATGTAGGCAAGATAGTGATTACTCTTAAAAGCACATGGAAATTGGGCTGCAGCAGCTCAGCATTCACCAAACAGAGAAATTAATCATGCTTTATTGTCTTGCAGTTTCCACATCTCTCTTTCACCCTTGAGACATGGCTTGCCTGAGGGAAGGGGCATCGCTGCAATCTTCTGCCAGAATTCGGGAAAAAAAGCAGTCACCGGGTTCCTCTCCAAACTTTCCATTGCACAAGGAATACAAGCCTCCCTGTTGGAACCCCTTCCCACCACGGGGCTTACTATGTCTTGGAAACCCCCAGCTGAGCACAGATTGAGGGATGGAGCTAGCACTGCACTCTCCTGGGCTCTCAGGAGGTTTTGCTGGGCCTTCACATGCGGACAAATATTAACCACAAAAGCACACCAATCCAAGCACTTTCAGCCTGAATTGCTGCTCAGATTAGCAAAACTCTACATTAACTTGAGGGTTGTGTTAGTACAAGTACTGTATATTCAGATATGTTGTTATTTCACACACAAAAAAGGATGTTTTGGTGTAAAAGTGAAGGGGGCCCAGGGCTGACCAAACCTGCATGCTTGAGAACCTTTTCACAGAGTATCTGTGGCAGCAGCAATGCTCAGGGTAGCAGAAATGGAAAACTGGTGATGCTTGATCAGGGATCATCTGGAGCAGTGCATTCCTGAGGGGGTGGAGGATGTTTGATTATAAACACAAATAGAAGTTACATTCAGCACCCATTAGAGGTTGGAGTGTTTTAAGTATACAATACAAATATCAGAGTCTCTAGATCAGTTTTTTTCCTGGTACTGAGAGTTTTGTATTACCTTCTGAGTCTGTGGCATTTTTCCTGTCTAGGCTCTGCTTCGTACCTGTCCTTTGCTGCAAGGCACTTAGATACACACCATTCTTAACACTATGGTGACCCGGTGATGTCGAGTCAGATTCATTCATTTGCTTAGCAGGGTCTATGCTAAAGAACATTTTTGAAGTGGGAGGTGAGTAAAATGAAGGCAGCAGACTATAACAATAAGTTATATTATATCCCTTCATTAAATTTACTAGTTTTAAATGGTCTAATATTACTTTGTAGAATTTAGATTCTCCTAAATATCTTCACCTCTCACATATTCTCCTGTTTGGTTATTTATTGTTAGGGGGGTTGGTGTTGTTTTTTAATTATATCTTTTTGTTTGTTTAACTGAAAGCAGTGAGTTTGGTTTTGTTTTGTTTTCTAAATTGTATCTTTTGTTTAACTAAGAGCAGTGAGCAGCAGAGAACATCAGGACCATGTCTTTGTTTTCTTTTGGTTCTTCTACAAATCATGACCTTCAGTGTTTTGAACATGCTCCTTAAAAGTAAAGTATTGTGTGTACTAGGATTAAACTCTCAGGAAGTTTATGATCAGTCTGTAGTGGTACTTGAATGATAATTAATTAGTACTGACCCAACAGGACTCTTAACTACAATTAACATTCATATAGATCAGCAATTTTAGTAAGTGATGGGACTTTCCCAGGCTTGTTTCCCTGTAGCTTGATCTGAGGTAGGAGTCAATAGCCCTGAATGAGCTGTTACCACTCAGGAAACGGATGAGAGGGTCATGGTGGATAGTTCTGGGAAGCCATCCTTTGGGTGCTCAAGGGACAGATCACCATCCCTACCAGCGCGCTGGGAATGCTGTTAGGAAAGACATCAAGAGAAATCTATCAAGCATTACTATGACACATTCTTGAATGCCAGCAATCTCACATCAAAAAGGCTAAGTAGAGAAACAGAAAGCTCGAATGAAAGCAGAAAGGTCTTTAGAACTTGTATACAACAGCTACAATGCAAGAGAAACAGAAGTACAGTAGGGTTTTTCAGCTTGGAAAGAGAGTGATGGAAAAGGAAAAAGCTTTAGAAAGTACAGAAAATCATGAAATGTGTAAAGAAGGTTAAATGTATAGCAAGCATTCATTGCTTTGCATCAGGTAAGAACTATGGACAACCTATATAAGGTGTCGGACAACAGGACTCCTTTACATGACAATATGTGGAATTTACTGCCTCAGGGTGCTGTGGGGCTCAAAATTACAAAGGAGCAAAAGGCACTAAGTAAATTCATAGGGGATGGATTCTGGTAGTTCAAGAAGTACCAGAACTGCTGATTTCCCACATTTAGAAGGGTAGGCTGGGGAAGAGTCATTCTGCAGGTCCTGTTTCTCCAATTCCCCTAAACATCTGCTGCATGAACTTGATCTGAATCAAGTCTTCCTATGTTCAAAGCCAGCCAGCAACCATAGCGTAACACTGCAAAATACATTAGTAATAGCCAAAGTGAAATAGTTCAGACTTGTTTGTAATGCTGTCAGAGTCAGACACTGCAATACTTTTGTGTGGTTACTTAGAATTTATCTGCCAAAACTCCACTCATGCAATAAGAGAACCAAGGAGGGAAGTCTGCCAAGATGACCCTCCTGAATTTCTCTTACATCATCTGTCTAGGGCATAGGATTTGCTTCTTACAAAATGACATACGCTCCTATAGACAGTGTTGAGGCCTGGACCTCTGAAATCAGTCAATACCTGTTGCACAGCAAGTTTCAGGAAGCAGAATTTAGATTCCACCAAAATATCTTGGACTTGTATCTTTTGTTTGGTCTGGCCATATAGTTGTTTTCTTTCTTTTGTTCTTATGCCTCATGTTTGTTTGGCTTTTAATAAGGGAGCAGTGAGCAATAAAGAACATT